CCCGCCGGGTGAGGGTGGCCTAAGAAATGCCTTAACTCCGGAGTTAAGTGATTAGATGGGCGAGGGTCAACTCCAGCCGTAGACTCATTCAACTCTAGAGGCAAGTAGTTGTTTTCTTTCAGATTCTGCAGCAGCGGAAGACCTGGACACGGTTCAACTCCACAGTTGAGTGATAATTCCGTTGCTGGTTTGAGTGATTTCACCCCCTCCTCCCTCCTCCTCCTCCCCTCCTTCTTCCCCGCCTCTCCTCCTCCTCCTCCTCCTCCTCCTCCTCCTCCTCCTCCTCCTCCTCCTCCTCCTCCTCCTCCTCCTCCCCCTCCTCCTCCTAGTCGCTGCTTGAGGTGCCCAAGAGTCGACCGACCGCACCTCACGTACAATAGTACATCAGCGATTCTGCGCCCACACCCGCAGGCCTCGGGGGCAGGGGGGACTGGGGAGCCCGCATGGCGAGCCCGTGCGCCTAGGCATGAGAATCTGCTACTACAACCCCCAGGAGGCAGCGAGCATCGAACGACTTGAGGACATCAGTGCTGAACTACACAGTTGGGACGTCATTCTCCTCAGTGGCACATGTAGATGGGCGGGAGCAGAAGCAGTACAGAGACACTACCTCCCTAACCACTACGTGTTACAATTCGGTGCCCGCAAAGGGAAGTGGATCAACAAAAGCTGTGGCTTAACGATCCTCATCAGCCAGAGAATCGACGAGCGCAGCTTACGAGAGACCTACATACCACCAACCAGCCTCCAGGGACGGGTTGCAGGAATTCGCCTCTCTACTAGCCAATACGACTACGCACTCTTTGTCTACTACTACGCCCCCACCCACCTCTCGTACTACGTGCCACTAGCAGACGCGATAACTAAATGGTTGGAACAGTGTGTCGACCGAGTAGGCAGCCGTACGACGATCGTGATGGGCGGGGATGTGAACAGCGACTTTGGTTGCCAGCGAGATACCGACGGGACCATCGTGCGAAGTAGAGGACCGACGGTAGGAGACAGGGAACCCAGAATAGAGAACTCCAACGGCATGAGCCTCAGGACCCTGTGTCAGACCAGCGACCTCAGTATTGCTACCACCTACCACATCGCTGAACCCACATTCTACGGGCACTCAGGTTACAACAGTCGTATCGACCACATTGTAGTACCTACAGGGGCCCTGGGACTCATAAAAAGGTGTGAGGTCCTCCATCGGTCAGGCAAAAGGCTCCAAAAGGTAAGAGTACGAGGGCACAGGGACCACCTCCCCATCGGCCTCGCCCTCCTCGCCTCTACTTCCACCACCTCCTTCCCCACGCGCGCCCGCCTACAACAGGGGCTGTGCAGGGGCGGACTCATGGAATGTCTGCGCAGCGGCCACAAGAGGGAGATGCTGCTCACCGAACTCGACAAGGAGGTGGAGGAGGTGGGTGGGGAGCAGTGGGAGAGAGAACTGGGGGCGGCGACGCCAGACGAGACCTGGGACCTTTTGGGAGGAGCGGCACGATCGGCCATGCTCAGGACTTTCCGAAAAAAACGGCTCACCCGACGAGATCGACCAGCTTACGAAGCGAGCCAAGCAATACCGACTCGAGCTCCTCAGGCAGCGACGAACACTGCGACAGAGCCTCACACCAGAACAGTGTGCCGACGACTACGACAGGGTACAAACGAGCTGAAAGAAGTCACAGCGGCGCTGAAGCAGGCTCGAGAAGGTGTAGAGAAACAAAGACGGGCGCCCCTGGTCGAACGCATATGGGAGGCCTACGAAAAACGGAACCTCGCCGAGATGCACCGACTACGCATGCAGTACCAGAGGAACGGACGCGGGCCAAAGAAAAGGTACTACCGATCAGCTCGAACCCATTGGCCCCGCGATTACTGGTATCAGGAGCTTGCCCACCCAGCCTTGGAAAGGGGGACCAGGAGCGCGGCCCATCGATAGAAAAGCAGAGAGAGCAGAACACGAGGCTTTCGCCCAGGAGCACATCGACCGACTGCCGACCGACCACGATTTATTTTTTCAGGTCGAGGCCGACAAGCGAGCGATGCGTAGGTACTGCCAGCGAGCCAGCAAACGACGGGCCTGGCCACCTTGGGGCATTCCGATCGAAATGACATGGTTGATGATCGATCCCGCCCTCCATCTTCAGGACCCAGCAGAGCTCAGCGGACGCCTAGAAGAACAGAGAGTTGCAGCTGCAGAAAAGAGGGGGGACGAAGACGAGCTTGCACACTACACGACATTGGGACGATGCAAGAAGGGGGGGGGAACTGCTCCGACGGATGGGGTGGACTGACGGTACCAGGTTGGGCCGCGTGCCGACGGCGGCGGATGGGACAGAAGGAGCCGCTTGGGAGCAGCAATCTTATGCAGTGGGGAGGGGCAGGTTGCAGGGCTCGGTGCTGACAAGATTGCAGATCACAGTAAAGGGTGCATGAAGTACCTTGACCAATTCCTTGCACACTGCCGAAGCTGCCAGGTCACTCCCTTGGACTGGCACCGATCACAAGC